CCCCAAAACCCCAAAACCCCAAAACCCCAAAACCCCACTCGTAGCAGCCTCAATGAAAAGTTATATAAAAAGTTTATAGTATTTAATAATAAGAAAAATGAAGATTATCACAGTACTACTTTTCTTGACTATTGCTAACTTATGTTATGCATCCTCATGGCAAGAGGAACTATTGAGACCCAAATATGAGAGCACTTATGCTGAATCAGTCGCCAGCAACGATTATTTCAACATGGAGAAGCACAGAGAGGAAGCATTTTCATCAGGATTCCAAACTAAAGTCCCTTCTGCTCCTGTTCTCGTACTTGAGCCAATGCAACATGCATGTCAGTTCAGAATCTACAACTACATCGGTCAGGTCCTCAACACTTACTCCAGATGTATCGAAGTAGCCACTGATGAGTGGTGGATTATTAACAAGCCTTATGACATTAGTCGTCATGGTGAAGACTTGTGCAAACAAGTCCAGAGCGATGAGGTGTTCAAGAATGGTAACTTTTCCATCATCTCCTTCTCTGACGGAGGTATGCTCGCAAGGTATTTAATAGAATACTGCCACTTTGACCAACCAATCAGAAATGTTGTCACTATGGGAGCCCCACTTAATGGAGTATCAGCCATTTCTCATCAGAAGAGGTCATCTCTTTTTGGAAGCATCCTTGATTGGATTGTAGACAAACTTATTAAGTATGAATTCATGGACAGATTCATCATTGCAGCTGATTACTGGAGAGACCCAAGAAATGTGGATGGATACTTGCATTACTCAAGATTTTTGGCTGAAGCTAACAATGAGGTAAACTTTGATGAAGACAGAAAAGACGCTTGGATGCACATCAACCACGGACTCTTCGTAAAATGGGAGGATGACACTACTATCATCCCCAAGGAATCATCCCATTGGGCCATTTACGATCAACACTTTGAAGTAATTGACAGACATGACACTATTCTCTTCCAACAAGACTTAATCGGCCTTCAGACTCTTGAAAAGAACGAGCAGACCTCTTACATCACCTTGCCAGGAGATCATCTCAAATTCAACTTCACACAGATCAACGACCTAATCCTACCCACCTTAAGAATGTAATCGCTATCTAAAAATGCCTTGTTCATGATTACATCAATAATATCAACCAGGAAGGGCTCAATCGGGGTTTTGGGGTTTTGGGGTTTTGGGGTTTTGGGGTTTTGGGG